GACCGCCTAAAACATATCAACTCTTTAACGTGACCCCCCCCTCCCTCGTCATACATCACATGAGCATTACAATTAACTACTTTACTAGTCAAGGTGTGGCATTAAATATTTATGATCTAATTATGCGTGCATAGTTGGTTAGTGTCTATGTAAGTCAAGGCTGTTCCTTGCAAACCACATTCTTCTACAAACCCTCGCATCTTTATCTCTAGCTTTTGCTACTATGCCCTATTCCTCAGGCACACTTATAATCCTACCATTGTTCACAAATTTACAGTTACTGTACAGTTCACAAATTTACAGTTGCTCATTTTTCTCATTAACATTTTATTGGTAGGATTAAAACAATAAAACAAATATAACAATAAAAATATACATAAAGGTCATAAGAACAGTTATACATTCAAGCCAACACACTAATTACAAAAAAGTAAGCTTTAAAGAATGATACATTCTTCAATAAATCTTTGAACGAAGTAACTTATTTTAGCCTCAATTTGTAATTGATGCCTGTACTGTTTGTTGCTTTAGATACAACCAAGTGTCTTCTGCCCTCAAGAATATCTGTAGACATTCAATGATATATCTAACCCTATTAAACACAAAGTACTACCCACAAATCAAGTTTTACCAAAGCCTACTTACTATACTTTATTTGAACCATAAAAAATCCTCACAACCATTTAACATAGTTATCCCAGGATGCTGAGATAAATTTTTTGTCTGATAGAGCTTCTAAAATTGGCATCCATTTAGCTTCGAACCCAAAATGTACGACGTTCCTTTTATTTCTGTTAACTTTATCAGTGATGCTTTCCATAATGAACTGATTCCACAGCTTCTTGTACCAAGTTTGAATGTTAGGGGGGGGAGATATCTTTCCAGCAAGATGCTATAGATAGCCTAGCCGCATACAGCATTGTGTCCAACAACTATTTTGCTTCCCTCAATCCCTACTCTTTTATTTTTACCTGAGCGGAAGCACTTTCCAAATCCATTAACATTAACTGTATCTGCTATTCCTTCCTTGCATGGTTTGGGATTATACCTTGAAAACATTGCATTAGGAACAGCAAACATTGTACACAGCAATCGCATCCTACCAAAATCATTGTTACTCCTAAGAAAACTATTATCCCTATTATTAACCAATGCCAGATCCCCTTTCCCCTTTAACCATTGTAACCAACTAGGGTAGGTTGATTTCCCACCAATTAACATGATCTTCTGTTACTTTATGAAAGACTGCCACTGTTTCTTTTACTTGGTTTGTTTCATTTATCACTTTCCCACCATGATCCACATAGAAACAGCATACACTCCTCTTCTCTGAGCAGCAAGAATATCTAAGGCTCTTCTATTCTGCAAGACTACCTGGGCCAAAGAGTCTACCTCTTCTTTTAACTCCAGTATAGCTTGCAGGGTGTCCTCAAACCCCTTTTCCAGTTCCTCTGAAATGTTCACTATAACTTTTTCCAGCTCACTGGCTCCTATCCAGGGAAGAAACCATCAGGTAAACACATGGAAACCCGAACTCCTTTCTGTCAAAGGGTTTGGAACCCTTCTCTTTCTCCCCCCGAGTCCTCTATGTAGGAAACTGCCTAAATTAGTAGGTCCACTAGAATTTATCTGTTTTCTTACCTCTATCTTTGGTATTAAATAAGCCACTCCACATCTTCCAAACCATCCCACGGGTAAGTTCTTAAACGCATGTTCCTCACATATAAAGTATGCTCCTGGCCATTTGATTTGTAAATTATATTCTGGTCTAAACCCATATCCCTTCCCAATTGTATCATTTCCTAATACATATTTATCTGTTTCATACCATTCTGTGGAGACTGTGGTATCCCAATACTGAGAAGTGGGAGCATGTTTTCTCCACCCCTTCTACTCCTAAGGACCATTTTGCTGTCACAGAGGAGTTCAAATACCATTGACAAGCCATACTCATCCACATCTGTCCCAAAAATGATTTATCAAACTGTCCACAAAGCTTATTACTAAACCTATCATATATATCATGTGAGCAAATTGGAAATCTATTAATCTGTGTGAACCATCCCGCCTTATTCTTAACAGAAACCCCTTGTTAACAGTTCCCAACTATCAGTAGGAGTCAGTAGTGTTGGATTCTTTAACACCCATTGCCAGTATTTGTCCATGTAATTCCAAGTACCAAAACAGAGGGGCAAGAATTAGCAAAAGCAACAATAAGACTATACAACACCTTTCTTCATTAATTACTCCTGTCTGGGGAAACCTGAGGAGTCCGTCTGACTTCCTCTTTAGCCCCTTTTGCCTTGGAACTCCAATTTCCCATTGCCATGGTCTTACCTTAGTTTAATTAGACATCTCAGTTCCACAACCAGGTGCGAGCTTGACTTTCGCTTGGCAGGCCCCCTGCCTGCCTTGATAGCCGCAAACTGACTGCTATAATAATGGTCTCGGGTTTCCGATCGTTCTCCAGCTCAGCCAACGGAGTTTCAATCAGACTGCAGAACTCTGCAAGGGTGCACCTTCCGATGACCATTTGCTGGTGGGTTGGTGACAATTCAGAAGATCCCGGATGAGTCCCCAAAATTGTTGGAAACACAAAAGGGTTTGTGATCCTTTTCCTAGCCCCTCCAGGGGGGAACACAAAACCACAGAAAAATAGCAGCCAGTCAGGAGTATCTCTTTAATTACTTTATTGCACAGTAAGAACATAAGAACATAAGAGATGCCAATGTTGGATCAGGCCAAAGGCCCATCCAGTCCAACACTCTGTATCCCACAGTGGCCAGAAATACCAGTGCCATCAGGAGGTCCACCAGTGGGGAAACATATCAACTCTTTAACATGAACCGTAGGCCTGGCAGCAGTTTATGGTCACCAGGTGGGACCTGGGGATGCCTGGAATTACTGCTCATCTCCAGACTACAGATGAGCAGTGGTGGGACAGTTGCCGGGGCATTCTCTGTGCATGTGCAGGGAACGCTCTTGTACTTTTGGGGGGATTTAAATATCCCCCGTATACTTTTTTCAACTTTTTAGATTTTTCTGCACATCTGGGGATTGCCCCAAATGTGCAGGAATATCTCTTTGTCCTCTAGGTGCCTCTGTAGGGGGGCACCTTGACTATTAGATATATACAAGAAGAGGGACCCGTGATACTCACAGGGGGAGAATAAGCTCCATGGGAGGAGAAGGAAGCAGCTGCAGGTGAACCTTCTCCCCTGCCCCCCCCGTCCCCAGCACCCATGGTGAGGCCCACACCTCTCCAAGCCTTCTCCCTCCCCCCCCAGCACTGGTGGTGAGGCCTGAACTCGGCCTGCCAAACTTTCTCCCTCCCCCCCCCTGGGTGGTGGAGAGGGCTGAGCGGCTTACAGCCACCAGCCATCCAAGTCTTCTCCTGCCCCCTCCCCTTTTCTGGTGGTGGCGGCAGCAAAGCCATTCTCAGAGCGTTCCCTGCGCAGGCGCAGGCGCAGGGAATACTCTTTTACTTTGGGGAAATTTTAATATCCCCCCTATCTTTTTTACAGTGTTTAGATTTTTCTACACATCTGGGGATTGCCCCAAATGTGCAGGAAAATCTCCCTGCCCCCCAAGTGCCCTCGATGTGCGGATTTAGATATCCGCACAGAGGAGGCATGTTGGGAATTATATTTGTGTTAATATATTTTTTATTAAGTTTTCAAAAATAAAATAAAATAGTGAGAGCAATACATTTTTAAGGAAATCCATGTCAATGTCTCATACATAACATCGTTTTGCTTACAAAATTCCTTTTTCTGCTTACTTATAGTGTCTGGCAACATTCTATGTTATCATGATATTTCTTCCTCCACAAACATGTATCCAGAAAAACCCACAATTTCTACTTAAAATGTTCTTATTCTGAATTAAAATATTATATCTTACCATCCTTTACAAACTGTATAATTATCTATATTTATAGTTATCTTATCTTGCTCCCTATACTATATAGTCTTACTGTTAGGTATAGATTGGTCACACCATGCTATTTTTCAATCTTTTTAACCACAAAGAAGGAAAGGGAAGAAAGAAGGAAAGGGAAGAAGGAAAGGGAAGAAAGAAAGAAAGAAAGAAAGAAAGAAAGAAAGAAAGAAAGAAAGAAAGAAAGAAAGAAAGAAAGAAAGAAAGAAGTCATTTCCTGCCTAAAAATTCTCATCTAATCCATACAATTCTTCCCTTTCAAGCTATAATAATTAATGTTATTAATAAAAAAGTTTAGATCACCTTACTATAAGACTTCCATCATATTTACATTGTACTATTATTAAATCAAGGTAAATTAGAACCTGTTAGACTCATTGCTTATAATATTTACTTATAACCATCTTTAGGGTCTTTTTTCATGGTGTTACATTCCATATTGCTAGTATTGAAACTTAAAACACATTTTTATATTGGTATTGTACAAGGCAGAGAAAACAGTCTATTACACAGAGTCACATTACTGTGCAGCTTTCAAGTTATTTTGTGCTTTATATTTTATGTTACTGTAAATCAATTAAATCAGTGGTCATAGATCAGTGTAGAGTGGAGCCAATCAAACAATTATTACATATAAAATTTACTTATAGTATTTGATCTTTTTCTGCTTTTTCTGTACATTTTTTTCACTACCGTGCTCTTATTCCTTTTATTTTTAAAGGTAAAATTGATCTTCCCTTCTCTATGATTAATTTGGAAAGGAAATAAAAGAACTGTTAGTTCTGTTTTGTCTTCTGGGAAAATTACATTCTCCTTAGTCTTCTCTGAAAATGGAGGATTTGAGAGATTTGTTTGGTCAATGTAAGAGCTTGTTATCTCTCTATTTGGTACACACGATTCCATCAGAAAAACATCATGTCTGAGGTCCTGTTTTTTGAGTGACATCAATGGGATATTCTGCTCTTCATCGTATCTTCACAAGGTTTTTTCAAGAGGTTGCTGAAGGATTTTTGTCAACACTTGTACCAGATGGTCTTCAAAGTTTTCCCACAAAACTTGTAGTGATTGTGTACGATCACAGTTTGCCAATGTAGCCAAGTCTTTAAGTGTAGTTAGAAACGCCACTGCATTTCCTTGTAATAGTTTAAAATCAAATCTGCCAGTTCCACAATCTTATAGTCTATCGTTCTAGTGAAATTTGCTCATTAGCCAAGCACGGTTTCCATAGCCGTTTTAATTTCATAAAGCAAATGTCTTTTTCTCTGTTAAAAATTAGCCAGAAGTCTTAAATCGCGAACGCTGCAGTGGAAGTAATTCCTTTCAGGATTCAGTAGAGTCTTTACCCCCAGGGAAGGTTTCTTATGTGCCTTAACTGATACGGAGCAATCGGGGGAAGCTCCGGGCCAAAAGCTGGCTGCGGGACAAATGGTGTGAAATTGACGAAATGCACTGGAGGGAAAAGAAGGTTGAGCCCAGGCCAAAGTCTATTGGGTGCAGTAAATAAGAAGCCTGGAGACCGACTGGCAGTGAAAGTGCAGAAAGTTTATAGTGTGATAATGGTGAATATTTACACAGAGAATATACAGACTGTTGCATAACATACCTCGGTTGGAGAGAGCCAAGTCTCCCAACCCAGCTTATCAAGTTTACAGTATATATACAGATCCCATCCAATCACTAACAGGGCAGACTAATCACCTACTCTTAACCAGTGTTCCCTCTAAGCTGAGTTAGTGTGAGCTAGCTCACAGTTTTTTAGCCTCCGGCTCACACATTCTTGTCTTCGCTCAGGAAGGAGGGCTCCAGAGCAAACTAATTTATGCAATAGCCAGATCGCCTGCTTACAACTTTAATTCCAGTAGCTCACAAAGTAGAATTTTTGCTCACAAGACTCCACAGCTTAGAGGGAACATTGCTCTTAACTAGGACAAAGAGTAGCACCTGGCAGTTTAACACCTGGATGTAAGATCATTAACCACTCAGTATGACAGCCATGACTTATACACTAGATCATTCTGATCTACACTCAGTAACAGCTTTCTACCTTATCACAACCTAGGGTTGGGGACTCCTGCTCTAGAACTTAATGCCACACAGGCAACCAAGACTTTGTGAGGCCACTGTTGAAACATTTCCTACCCCCATATTTCACTTATGTCACTGCAACAAAAAGGGCCAAGGAAGGAAGGGACGGACGGACGGACGAACTATACATTGACAGCAATTACCAAATTAAAACTGGCCCTTTGGGGAAATGGTGGCCTCAAGGGGTGGACAGAAGGAAAATGGCACCAATGTGAGAGGCATTTGCAGAAACGCACCCCTTCTTGTCAAGGTGGTGTACTAACATGCTTGGAGTGTGTTGTTTCTGGAAAGATCACACCAAACCAGGTTTGAGAAGGAATGGACTGAGGACATAGAAGGTCTGACAAGGAGGCCAACTGGGGGGTGACATAATATGAATGTTCCAAACCTGGTGCAGCGAAAAACGTCTATGTAGCTGTAGTGCTGGTATGGTCCATGGCAGGCATTGAGTTTTCTTTCTCTTCCCTCCAGGATGTCAGAAGCACTTTGCAGAGGTAAGTAGATCTCACTCATTTCCCTTCTGGGGGATGGAAAAGGTCTGGATAGTATGAGAGGTATGTGGCCCTCTGGTAGAGTCCCCTCTGGCCACTGGCAGGGAGAAGGGGGGGTAGGATTCTCAGCTCCAGGTAGGAACACTCCTGGAGAGTTGGAGGTGGATCCTGGGGAGGACAGGGACCTCAGTGGGGTGCAGTGCCTTAGAGTCCACCCCCCAAGGCATCCATTTTCTCCGGGGGAACTGATCTCTGTAGCCTTCAGGTGAGCTGTAATTCTGGGGGTTCCCCTGGTCCCGCCTGGAGGTTGGCATCCCTACCATCAAGCTCCAGGAGACAGCACGTAGGGCTATGGATCCTTTAATGTTTCACATGGGAATTTATTTATTCAAGTATTTTTAGGCTGCATTCCTCCCCAAAGGGACCCAAAGTGGCTTAACCCAAAAGAAAAGAAAATTCCAAGTCACAAAAACAACTAGACAAATGTAAAAAGGCACAACAAATCTGGGTTGGTCTGAATCCACCTAGCTGACTGTCACAGGTCCCAGGGGTTCATGCCTCAGGCTCTGCCCAGTCTTTAAACACCTGCAGGAAGAGGAGGGACAAAATTCAGACCACAGCTTCTGTGAGCTTGGTGCCAGCATTCCAGCAGGATAAAGTAAGAACATAAGAAGACTCTACCGTAAGCTCTTGGAGGATTGGCTACATTAGGGGTGTGTCGCTTAATATGCAAATGAGTACCTGCCACAAAAAGAGCCCTGCCGGATTGGTCCATCACTCAATGTTCCCTCTAAGGTGAGTTAGTGTGAGCTAGCTCACAGTTTTTTAACCTCCAGCTCACACTTTTTTGTCTTAGCTCAGAAAGAATGACTCCAGAGCACACTAATTCGTGCAGTAGCCAAACCACTCGCTCACAACTTTAATGCCAGTTGCTCACAAAGTAGAATTTTTGCTCACAAGACTCCACAGCTTAGAGGGAGCACTGGTCCATCTAGCTCTTCCTCAGTTTCCCCCACCCAGCTAATTAGCAGGAGATTGGGGCACTCAGTTTTATTAGTACCCCTCCCTCCATTCTCATGGCCTGAGCACTGCCCCTTCTTTCCTTGGCTACTCTTGCTAAAGGACTTGGTTGGCATGCAGATTAGCCAGAAGGTTCTTTCTAATGAGCAGCACCCTGATGACTGTCCATCACAGAGGCCCTGGGCCACTGAGCACCTCCAAAGATACTCCCAAGGGAGAAAGAGCTGGGGATGTGTTGGATTCCTGACACTACATTTCTCTTAACCAGTTTGTTTTGCTGTTATGGGAAGTTGCAACCCTGAGCGTCTCCTCCTCCTGGCTAAAGAAGGAAGGCATGTGGCATAACATTTGCTCTGGAATATCCCCATATCCGCCAGTTTGGTGTAGTGGTTAAGTGCGCGGACTCTAAGCTGGGAGAACCGGGTTTGATTCCCCACTCCCCCACTTGCACCTGCTGGATGATCTTGGGCAAGCCATAGTTCTGGTACAGCTGTTCTTGAAAAAGAGCAGTTTCTGTCAGAGCTCTCTCAGCCCCACCTATCTCACAGGCAGGTGTTCCCTCTAAGCTGAGTTAGTGTGAGCTAGCTCACAGTTTTTTAGCCCCTGGCTCACACATTTTAGTCTTCACTCAGGAAGGATGGCTCCAGAGCAAAATAATTTATGCAGCAGCCAAATTGCTAGCTCACAACTTTAATTCCAGTAGCTCACAAAGTAAAATTTTTGCTCACAAGACTCCACAGCTTAGAGGGAACATTGCTCACAGGGTGTCTGTTGTGGGGAGGGGGAGGGAAAGGAGTTTGTAAGCCCCTCTCAGACTCCTTTGGGTAGTGAAGGGCGGGGTATAAATCCATCCTCATCCTCATCCTCTTCTTCTGAAATCTATCCAAGTAGTTTTTGAATCTTTAGCTGAACCCCAAACTTCATTATACTGAAGAAGGGCAAAGCACATTAGCATTCCAGATTGGGGGTGGTGGTGTTTCCAACATAAAGATGTCACGCCTGACTGGCCATCTGATCCAGGGGAAGTAGTTTATTTTTCATACCTTCCTTGATCAGAATTCAGAAATGTAAATGAGTACCCCACTTTTGGACTGAAACAGAGAAGGGTCTCCCTGCTTCTGAGAGACCCCTTGAAACATGGGCAGAAAGAAACAAGCCCTGACAATCTTTTCTCAAGTCTGGAATGTGCTATGGGAAAGAAGATCTGTCTCCAAGGAAGGAGACATCAAAACGTTTGTACATTTTAAGTAGCAAGAAACTACACTCACCTTTTGATTTTTGTGTTCTGCTGTTTCACCTCCTAAATATATTTATTAGCTTATTTGTATGTGTGTAGAATAGACTTCTTTTTTTTTACAATTTGTTCACTGGCTTTGAAATACATTCTGAGTTATTACTGTGACATTTTGGACACTGTAATGTAACCCTACTAAACAGAAGGCACAAAGGGGAGGTGGAATCCTTTCCCTCTCTCACACACCAGCAGAGACGACATTCAGAAGGAGAATTCTTGGCTGACCTGAAACAGCCCATTACTGTGCAGCCCTTAGCAGAGTTCCCCCTACTCTGCCCACTGACTTCCACGTATGTCCCTCTGCTTTAGGACTGCACTGCTAACCTAATACAATCTCTTGGGGGTGGTAGGGACAATAAAAGGGGCATGTCTGGGGTCCAAGAGGCAGAGAAGTCCATACAAAGTATTAGGTGCATATGCTCAGAGCAATTCAAAAGAAATATATGAAACTGCAACAATGTCAGATCAGTGTTTCTGCAGATGTCCACAAGTGGCAAGCCCCTGAAGTAAAGTGATGGTGGGGACACTGTTAGTACAATTGTACCCTATTGTGTTTCTTCTTTCATCACTGTGGTCATGTGAGGAGGAGACACTCAAGAATGTCCTGAGGGCCTTCTCAGTCGTGGCACCAAAATTATGGAATCTCCTTCCCAGGAAGATTCATCTCTCCCATTCCCTTATTGTGTTCCACCTGCCTGTGAAGAACTTTGCTGTATTGTTTATAGTTCTCTCCAGGGGTCATTTCGTAGAAAAAGAGCTAGGGGGACTCATTAGCATAACTCATTAGCATATGCCACACCCCCTGACATCACCGGAAGTGTGTCCTCCCCACCTCCAGCGGGCACCAGCAGGGAGCTCCAGGCCCCGCCCTCCCGCACCTCACCCGGGGGGATGGCGTCCCCCCGTGTCCCCCCCCCAAATGACCCCTGGTTCTCTCACTGAATTCTTTTTCCTGTTTCTGTGTTTCTATGTTTTCTTTAATTGTTTTTCTTTTGAAAGCTTGTTTTAATATTTCTTTTTTTAAAAAAAATTATTATTCGGATATAACTACATATTCAAAAAATACAACTTTTCTTTCAACATATATCCTTTTCTCATTCTCCTACCCCCCTTCACTTGGCCTCCCGCAATGCTCCCACCCCACATACAAATTAATTCTCAAATTGCTATCATTTATAACCTCCTCATTATCAATTCTTCAGATAACATTATATCATTATAACCATCTTTTCAATCTATTATTTTCTGTTCTTAATAACTATCAAAGCAAAGTAAGTTCTTCCATCTTAAGTCCTAACAGTAATATTTCTGGTTCTTTTTTAAAAGTAGATTTCAAAATCTTTTGCATTTCAGTATGGACTTCTGTCCAGAAGTCCGCAGCTTTGCCACAAGTCCACCACATATGGTAAAAAGAGCCCTCATGTTTTTTACATTTCCAACACTTATTTGACATATTCTCATTCATATTAGCTATTGTTTTGGCGTCATGTACTATCTATACATCATTTTATAACTATTTTCCTTCAAATTATTACAAGTAGAAATTTTCATTGACTTTTTCCATAAACATTCCCAAGATGACATAGATATTTCTTTATTCATATTTATAGCCCATTTTATCATTTGCTCTTTTACCGTTTCGTCTTCCGTATACCATTTTAACAAAACTTTATATATTTTTGATATCATTTTTTCCCTTTTTCTGCCCACACACATTCCATTTCGTTATTTTTCTCTCTAAAACCAAACCTTTTTTGTCAGTCATAAACAAATCATATATCTGTCTATAATTTAACCAATCATATTCAAAGTCTAGCTCTTCTCTAGCTTTTATCACACAATTTTTCCCATCTACTTTCATAATATCTCTATAAGTTAACCAGTCCTCGCCCTTATGTCTTGAATATGGTTTAATTACTTCAGCCGGTACAATCCATAATGGTCTGTCTTCAAAAAAGAACCTTTTGTATCTCATCCAAGTCTCAAACAATGATCTTCTTATAAAACTTGTTTTAATATTTCTGATTGATTGTTGCCTTGGGGACCCTATGTTGGGTGGGGGAAAAGATGTTTAAAATATAAACAAACAAGTAGCCAGGCAGATTTCCCTTCCACAACACTTCTGTCGCTCTCTGCATTCCTTTTTTTTTTTGGTGGGGGGGGCTGAGTAGTGTGTGTGTGTGTGTGTGTGTGTGTGTGTGTGTGTGTGTGTGTGTGTGCGTGCCTGGAAGTCATGGTTGACTTCTGGAAACCCCTAGTGGGGCTTGGACATTTTCAGAGAGGTGGCTTGCTATCTTCTCCTGCCTGTGGCTCATCTATGCTTCCACCTGTCCGTTTCCTTGGTGCTGGTGGAAAGTGCCATTAAGACACAGCCAACTTAGGCTATTTCTGCACCCATCATTTCCTCCACCGTCTCCTCGCTTTTCTGTCACCTTTTATATTATGTTCTGCATCTCCTCCCACTTTCACCTCACATCTCCAATGGCTTTTTTTGTTGTTGCTTCTGCATTCCTTCTTGCACAATCAGCTTTCAGCTCACTCTATCACCATGTTTTCTGGAGCCGTTTTTGCTGCGGACTGTTGTCTTGCCTCGCTTTTTAAGTTGAAGGAATTTATGATGCATGCATTATTCCATGGATACTGCATCCCCACCCAATTCCCACCCCTGTTTCCACCCCTTTTCTGAGAGCCAGTTTGGTGTAGTAGTTAAGTGCGCGGACTCTAATCTGGGAGAACCGGATTTGATTCCCCACTCCTCCACTTGCACCTGGCTGGATGACCTTGGGCAAGCCATAACTCTGGCACAGCTGTTCATGAAAAAGAGCAGTTTCAGTCAAGAGCTCTCTCAGCCCCACCTACCTCACAGGGTGTCTGTTGTGGGGAGGGGAAGGGAAAGGAGTTGTAAGCTGCTCTGAGACACCTTTGGGTAGTAAAGAGCGGGGTATAAATCCAATCTCTTCTTCTTCTTCTTCTTTTCCTGTCTTCATCACCACAAGGATTGTGGTTTACTGTTCCTCGCACCCTGTGCCTTCCTCCTTCTTACTTCTGGTCCACTACTGAGAGGGTTACCAGTTGTAATTTTTTTTACAAGCCCTTTAAAAGTCTAGCATTAAAATTGATTGATAATCTTGGGTAGGTTGTGAAACAAACCATTACTATGGACTACTTTAAAGAGGTGCCCTATGGAGGATATGCGAAGGGTGGACGGAAGGCATCAAGGGAGAAAGGCAGCCACTGGGTGGTCGTTGCACTGGCTGCTCACACATCCCTGAAGGCCATCGAGTGCTCCATCCAATCCTCCACACTTGCCACCACAATCGTACTCTAGTTTGTGACTGGCCATCCTCAAACATGCCTCTCACTCAGTGCAGGTTGCCGGGCGACAGGGGAAGGGCTTCCCATTTCTTTGCAAGCAGGCTAGTTTTGAGTTTACCATACTGAGACTTGCTATAGAGCTTGTTCCCTGCTGGTATTGCTTTAAAAAGGAGTTGTAGAGGAAGCAAACTGAAGCATCCCCAATACAAACAAAAAAGGATTTCCACTTGTCAGGTTCTCAGTCAAATCACTCTCTTCACACACTTCCTTCAGTGAATGTTTTATTGAGAGATATGAGATGCTATGGGCCAAATGCTTTGTCAGGACTGAGGTGCAAAGGCGGGGAAACAGGGTATAGGTACAACCCCAAGATTCCATTCAACCCCCATATCCACCAGTTTGGTGTAGTGGTTAAGTGCGCGGACTCTAATCTGGGAAAACCGGGTTTGATTCCCCACTCCTCCACTTGCACCTGGCTGGATGACCTTGGGCAAGCCATAGTTCTGATAAGAGCTGTTCTTTAAAAAGAGCAGTATCTGACAGAGCTCTCTGAGCCCCACCTACCTCACAGGGTGTCTATTGTGGGGAGGGGAAGGGAAAGGAGTTTGTAAGCCGCTCTGAGACACCTTTGGGTTGTGAAGGGCGGGGTATAAATCCAATCTCTTCTTCTTCTTCTTCTTCTTCTTCTTCTTCTTCTTCTTCTTTTCCTGTCTTCATCACCACAAGGATTGTGGTTTACTGTTCCTCACACCCTGTGCCTTCCTCCTTCTTACTTCTGGTCCACTACTGAGAGGGTTACCAGTTGTAATTTTTTTACAAGCCCTTTAAAAGTCTAGCATTAAAATTGATTGATAATCTTGGGTAGGTTGTGAAACAAACCATTACTATAGACTACTTTAAGGAGGTGCCCTATGGAGGATATGCGAAGGGTGGACGGAAGGCGTCAAGGGAGAAAGGCAGCCGCTGGGTGGTCGTTGCACTGGCTGCTCACCCATCCCTGCAGGCCACCGAGTGCTCCATCCAATCCTGCATACATTTTAAAAAACCTCTGGGGGACACGCACACCCACACACCACGAGGGATGCGTCCAATGCGCCCTCTAAGCTGTGGAGTCCTGTGAGCAAAAATTGTACTTTGTGAGCGACTGGCATTAAAGTTGTGAGCGAGCGATTTGGCTGCTGCGTAAATGAGTTTGTTCTGGACAGAGCCGTACTTTCCTGAGCTAAGACAAAAAATTCTGTGAGCCGGAGGCTAAAAAACTGTGAGCTAGTTCACACTAACTCGGCTTAGAGGGAACACTGGATGAGTCCACGTTAATTGATCAAAAATGTGGGGGGGGACTGGAGGGGGAGAAAACATGTTCAGAAGGCGGGGCAAACAAATCCAAATTCAGTTTCTCTGCGGTAAGATGTGAGTGCAGAAATAGCCCTATAGTGACTTCGAAAGGTTTTTAAAGCAAGGGATACACTTCTGCACGTTTTTCCATTTTGTTCTTTTGCTCCTCTCAGGAGTTTTGGTTTGAATGAATGATCCATTAAAGCTTTCCTCTCTAGGTATCAGAAGAAGGAGACGTTTGCGAATCCAGGGGCTTTTCCTCCTGGGCTGAAATGGAGGCTCTGGAGTTGCTGGGAGATCAACCACTTGCTGGAGAGCGTCACAAAGAAATTCCAAAGTGAGAGTGAATGGCTGCAAGGATGTCATTCAGGATATTTACATCAGTTCAGAAATGCAAATAGCAGGTTCTGGATCACTGAAGAATGCCAGCTGAGAAGGCAATTTTAGTCCAGTGTTCTCAAATTGGTCTTGGAATCTAGAATGTTTAAAAATTACCTTCATTTTTTTATCTCCGTACCTTGGGTACCGCAGTGTTTAAGAGGGAGGCTGGGAAAGAAAGAAGTTTCCAAAAGAGGATGAGGGAACCTGATTAGTGAGGCTGATAAAGGTGTTAATGATCCGATACATATTTGCCCAACTTTCCTATTGCAGTTTGGAGTCATAAATCAATGCTCCCTCTAAGATGGATTAGCGTGAGCTAGCTTGCAGTCTTTTAGCCTCCAGCTCACACACTTTTGTCTTAGCTCAGGAAGGATGACTCCAGAGCAAACTAATTTATGCATTAGCCAAATCGCTCGCTCACAGCTTTAGTGCTAGTGGCTCACAAAGCTGAATTTGTTTTCCTAAAAGCTCACAAGACTCCACAGCTTAGAGGGAGCATTGCTCCAGAGCACACTAATTAATGCAGCAGCCAAATCGCTTGCACACAACTTTAATGCCAGTCGCTCACAAAGTAGAATTTTTGCTCACAAGGCTCCACAGCTTAGAGGGAGCACTGGTTATAATGTAAACTGATGTCCCATTTTTGCACTTAACACAACTGGGCAGTGTTCAGTGAATCCGGCAGCCAAGTTCTGTAGCTGTTCTTAATGCATAATCAGAGCTCAATTACTTTAACCCTTTACTTGATATGAAAGTTGAAATTGGTGTGAGGATTTCTTAAACCGTGCTTCGATTTACACGACAATGGCTTGGCTCCCTCTGTGGTCCGACAGCCCCTGACCATCCTGTTAGCCCAGAAAATGGATGTACACTCCAGGAGCAGGGCTTCTCTCATGTAAGTGTCAAATTTAGAAAAGCAAACCATGGGTCTAAGCCGTGAAGTCTTGTGAGCAAAAATTCCACTTTGTGAGCTACTGGCATTAAAGTTGTGAGCCAGTGATTTGGCCACTGAGTAAATTAGTTTGCTCTGGAGCCCTCCGTTCTGAGCGAAGACAGAAATGTGTGAGCCAGAGGCTAAAAAACTGTGAGCTAGCTCACAACATAAGAACATAAGAGACGCCAATGTTGGATCAGGCCAAAGGCCCATCCAGTTGTCACACAGTGGCCAGAAATACCAGGTGCCATCAGGAGGTCCATCAGTGGGGCCAGGACACTAGAAGCCCTCCCACTGTTGCCCCCCCCAGCACCAAGAAGACAGAGCATCACTTGCCCCAGAGTCCCTATCTATACCTTGTGGCTAATAGCCACTGATGGACCTCTGCTCCATATGCTTATCTAATTCCCTTTTGAAGTCGTCCATACTTGTAGCCGCCACCACTTCCTGTGGAACAACAACTCAGCTTAGAGGAACAACAACTCAGCTTAGAGGGAACACTGGTTGGGACATTTTGGGAACATTCGTAGAGCAAGTTTATTTATTTATTCAATTTACACCCCGCCCTCCCCGCCGAAGCAGGCTCAGGGCGGCTTACATAAAACTCTGCTCATAAATAACAATTAAAACCAGTCATAAAACAATAATAAAACAGTCCACTTGTCACCATTATCATAAGGTGCTAGAATAGTGGTCTGATAAATGCTAGAGCAGTAGGTCTAATACTAATCGTATTACTTCAGGTGCCAATAACGGTCATGAGTTCAGGCCAACTCATCTTGATTGATTTATTTATGTGGTGAGCACAGGCTGTTGATCTAGGGCTGCCAAATCCCCATGAGGGGTGGATTTCCCCCCGCTTTGGAGATCCAATTTCCGCCCCCGCGAAAATCGGCCCCCGGGGGAAACCCCACCCCCGCGTGCACGTCACAGGAAAGTGACGTCGTGACGCCAGGCACACTCTGTTTTCCCCTCAAATGGTTGTGCCCCGCCCCCAGTGTCCCCGGCATCATGACGTCATTTCCCTGTGACGTGCATGCTGCCGGGAGCCAGCACAAAGTCCCTCGCCGGCAGACGTAAGTTGATTTGGCAACCCTATGTTGATCGTAGAGCCAGGCACAGGGCTCACTTTTCAGGTGTTAGATGCAGCTCCTTGATAGAAGGCCTGATGGAAGAGCTCTGTCTTGCAGGCCCTACGGAACTGTAAAAGGTCCCGCAGGACCCTGATCTCTTCTGGGAGCTCATTCCACCAGTATGGAGCCACCACTGAAAAGGCCCTGGCCCTGGTTATAGCCAGCCTGGTGTCTTTGGGGCCTGGGAGGGCCAGTCGATTTTGGGACCCTGATTGCAGTGATCTCTGGGGAACATGTGGGGAGAGGAGGTACCTTAGGTATGCCAGACCCTGACTTTAAAGGGCTTTAAAAGTAAGAACCAGCAACTTGAAGTTAATTCAGTATGCTATTAGCAGCCAGTGCAGTGCTTTCAGCACAGGCTGGATGTGTTCCTGCATAGTGTACTAGCTGAAGCTTCTAGATTTGGGACAACGGCAGCCCCATGTAGAGAGCATTACAGTAGTCTAGTCTCGAGGTGACCATCACATGAATCACTGTTGCCAAGTCATTGCATTAGAGGAAGGGAAGCAACTGCCTAATCAGCCGAAGATGATAAAAGGCTGACTTGGCAGTGGCTGCTACCTGGGCCTCCATTGTTAAGGAGGCATCCAGGAGCACTCCCAAGCTCCTAACCTCCGATGCTGGCACCAACTGAGCCCCATCGAAAGTCAGGAGTGGGTTCCCTCTCCTCGGGCCACCTCAGCTCAGGCACAGGACCTCCGTCTTCGTTGGATTCAATTTCAATCGGCTCAGTCTAAGACAGCCAACCACAGCTTGTAACGCCCGGTCCAGATCTTCTGGTGTGGATTGGTTACTCAACAGCAGATAGAGCTGGGTGTCATCCACATACTGGTGACATCCCAGCCCATGCCTCTGGGCAATCTGGGCAAGGGAGCACATATAGATGTAAAATAACATCAGGGAAAGCACCGCCCCTTGGGGCACTCTACAGATCAGTGGATGCCTTCAGAATAGCTGCTCCCCTAGTGCCACCCTTTGCTCCCGACCCTGAAGGAAGGAGGCAAGCCATTGCAAGGCAGGCCCCTGGACTCCAGTGTCAATGAGGCAGTGGATCAGTAACTGATGGTCGACCATGTCATAATTACTGTACCAAAACCAGGGTGCTGATGGTGATGTTTTACTGGAAGATGCTTACAGGTTCCTTCCTTCTGTGTACTGCCTTTGCTATACGATTGTACCAAAAGGGACCTGTCAAAGTTGTCCCTTTGGCTCCAATGAATAACTCCTGTTGCTTGAGGGTTTTTGGGATTAGAGTCTAGGCATTATCCCTCTGTAGCGCCCACACCCGGTGAATTCCAAACCTTTCTTTGGCTTAAATGGCACTGGATTGAACTATAAAACCCCAGACTTGAACTACAAAGTTGTGCTGAAGCCAAATGTTAGCTTTCCAAATCACAAATTGTGTGTCTTTGTTTTCTAAATACTACAGAAGCAGTAACTGGGAATGATAAGAGAAATGTAGGTATTCGTAAGCAAAACTGGATGGGGGAGCCCCACTCCCACCCAGATTTGTTTCAGCGATTTTGGAATTGCTGGTCTTGTGACAAGATATAAACACAATGGTTTGATGGTTGGTTAATCCCTGTTCCTTTTTCTTCCCCAGATTCTCTCGTTTCTGGGCATCTAATGCGAAGAGGTAAATTTTGAAGACCTATGGAGAACAACATTCACAAGGAGAGGGACTTGTCAGGAGGTTTTCTTTTTGTGTGTCATTGATGTTGAGGATTTTCATCCAGTAAACATCTAGATTCATATCCAGATTATTTTGGGGAATCAGCTTTCAAGAGTCAGAGCTCTCTTTGTCAAACTCTTGAAAGCTTACACCTGCAAAATCTTGTTGGTCTCTAAAGTACTTCTGGATTCAGATCTAACTATTTTACTGCAGACCAACACAGCTACCTCCTGAAACTGCTCTATGAATATGAGAATCATAAATTGGTTAATGGGAATAGCTGTGCTGGTCTGAAGCAGCAGAGCAAAGTTTGACTCCAGTGGCACCTTTAAGGCCAACAAAGTTTTATTCCAGGTATGAGTTCTTCAGATACAGTGAAATAGAAGTCACCAACCATTACATATAGGCAGAGGTGGGGAAGGTGTTACCAGGAAAGGCTGAGCAGTAAATATAAGCTAAGACTGGAAAAGGCAATTTGGTAAGACCTGTGAATAGCAGCAAATAAGAATACAGCATAATAAGGAGTTTACAAACAGATGCAAGAACTGAATGATGCTAGCATGTGTAGTGAGATAAGAAACCAATATCTCTGTTAAGCCCTGGACGGTCCATTGTCCTGAGTGTGGTAATAACTTTTAACAGCAATCCGCCATTCTAGTCTGTTTCTGAAATCCCTTTGTAATAAAACAGCTACTTTAAGGTCCCACGCTGAATGTCCTGGAAGGCTGAAGCATTCTCCTACAACAGGTTTTTCAGTCTTGTGATTCTTGATTCTTTGGCATAGGGTTTGACCTGTTTGGCCTATGTGGAGAACTGAAGGGCATTGTTGGCATTTAATGGCATATACAGTGTTAGAAGATGAGCAAGTGAATGAGCCTGAGATGGTGTAGCCGATGCTGTTAGGTCAAGTGATCGTGTTGTCCGGGTGTATGTGGCAGCAAGGTTGGCATCTGGGTTGATTGCAAGCTCTGGTATCCCTGTCCGTGTTCAAGTTAGATGCTGTATTATTGTTGGTGAGGTTGGGTTGCCAGGTCCCATCTTCTCTCCGGTGGAGGGATTGGGGAGGTATTCCTGGAGGGGGAGGGGCCGTCCCCAACATGATGGCCTCATGCAGAGTGACGTCATCGCGTCATGGGCGCAGCGCAGCACACACGCACACACCGTTTCCCCCAACCATTTAAAGGGATCCTTCCCCTTAAATGGTTGGGGGAAAGCGGGTGCCGTGCACACCTGCCCTGCAAACAACGAACTTGCAATTTGCAGGGCAGGCGTGCACGGTTGCCACTTTAAAAAAGTGGCTTGTGGGGGAGGCGTGCACGGCGTCCGGTCTTTTCAAGCGGGGCTGCAGAGAACTGTCGGGGCCAGGACTTCTCCCCACTGGCCAGCTGGCCAGCATCTGGTTGGAGCCCCAAAAATCAAGGGATCCCCGCCCCCACCGGTGAGCTGTTTAAGATTAGGGGTCTTGCACACAGACAGCCCCACCTGGAGGCCGTCACTCCTATAACTGACTTTCCCATCCTGACACTGGCTCCAGCTTGCCCTCCTCGTCTCACCTCTCCCCACAAAACTGGCCACCCTCAAGACTTTGCATGCCATTTTGGTTGGCTATCAGAGATAAGGATGAAGCATACCTGGCCAAAAAATGGGGGAAAGCCAGTGAAATTGCTTTCTTCTAGTTCTTCTGTTGCAATGAATTATGTGCTTTGGGGTTTCAGAGGAAAACTGAGACTTCCACACCACATTAATAAACCTCAGGTCTTACAGAACGATAGCATGTATTCCTCTTCAGAAACTGAGCACTGATCACACACCTCTTGCAATGCTCCAGAATAGATACCCTCCATTCTGTTGCAGCACAATCTGCTGCTTCCTTTCCTAGCATAACCCAAAAGTTATCTTTTCCCACTGCTTTCTAGATAAACCCTGTTCACTTATTTCCCGGCAACACACACACAAAAATTGTACAAATACATCAACTGAGCTCAACTTCCCAATCAAGTCTTGGAATACGGGAAGAAAAGTACCTCTGAGAGTGTACATTTTATTTCCGCTGAACTCTCCTGCCTCCCTTTCTCCCGTGGCCTTCAAAATACTAAACTTCATATACAGTGTTTGGAGGAATGAGCAAGCCTACTGCTTTAAAAAGAGAGCGGAACTTATGCATGTTTGACTGAGCCTCAAGAAGTGAATTAATCTATCTGGCTGATTTTCCTTCCCTTCTGTCTCCTCATCTCTCCCTAACAGCAAATATGACTCTGGATCCAATCGCAGCTTATACCGAACTTATCCTGTCTGAAGATCGGAGAAGCATTACATGCCAAACTAAAGCTCAAGACCTGCCTGAACACCCTGAGGATGTTTACTCTTATTCCTGTGTGCTGGGCAGTGAGGGATTCACATCAGGCTGCCATTTCTGGGAAGTCACTGTGGGAAGTGAGGAAGGCTGGGCCGTGGGGGTGGCCAGAAATTCTGTGAGGAGGAAGGAAAAGTTCTCCTTTAGTCCTGAGCAAGGGATATGGGCTATGGGGTGGAATAAGGGCCGGTACAAGGCTTTCATAATGGGCAATAACCCTCCCCTGACCCCGTGTGGAGAGCTCAAGAGGATCCGAGTCTCTCTCAACTACGAGGGAGGGCAGGTGGCCTTTTTTGACGCTGACAGAGCAGCCCTTCTCTACAGGTTCTCTGAAGGCTCCTTCTCTGGAGAGACCCTCAATCCCTTCTTTGCTGTGTACGGTAAAGGCTACCTCAGAGTCTGCCGTTAAAGTAGTCAAATACTAACCAGGGCCAACCCTGCTCAGCTTCTGAGATGTGATGAGATCAAGCTAGCCTGAGGCCACCCACGTCAGGGGATATTTAAACTGTAGATGGGTAATTTTGGGCAGCTTTTTCAGCTTCCCCTTGAGGAGAAAGAAGCTGATCCCTCTATTTGAGGGAGACCCCTATTATGTATTAGGACTGAAACCTTTCAGGACTGTTCTACCAGAGACTGGCTGAGCTTGGAGCAGAGAACAATAGCCCACCAGGACTCTGGAAGTAACCAACCAAGAAGCAGGGTTATTTTGGGGCAGGAACACACAGGAACGGAGTTCTGGCTGGCTCCCAAGTTCGCCATGCCCAGCAGGAACTCATTAACATAATAGGCCACACCCAACAGCAGAAACTCATTATGATTGGCTACAATTAGGGGGTGTGGCCTAACATGCAAAGGAGTACGTGCTCCAAAAAAAAAAGCCCTGGGTTTTGACAACAAGGTAAACAGAATAAGAACCAAAAGGTGGGTGTGGTTGGATGACTACACTTCTGGCCTAATATGCAAATGAGCTGTGCTGTCAGGGGTATGGCCTAATATGCTAATGAGTTCCTGCTGTTGGGTACTGGGCTTTTTCTACAAAAAGAGCCCTGCCAAGAAGTAATCTTATGTAAATAGCCTATCGTTGGGAGTGGGGCGTGTTTGCGTGTGGCAATTGCATGATATTTAAACAGGGCTGAGGCTCTGCAGTCTCAGTCTTGTTCTTGCTGAAATCACTAATAAAGTAGAGCTGATCACCAGACTTGGGGTCTGCCCCTCAATTAGAACACCCCAATCGAGGAATGAACCTAGAACAGGCAGGGATTATATATCTGCATGCCAGTTTGGGTCCCCTTGTTCTTTCTGCTAAATATAAATCCCCATCCCCTTGAAATGGAAGACAGATGACAGATGACAGATGAATGTTCTACAATACAGATCCGGGAAGAAAAACTAGCTGAATATGCAACAATGGCAAAACTAACCAGCTATATAAAAAGAAGACCACTGAAAGAATTTTAGAAAAAATGGCAAGCTTACTACTCATATTATGGGAATAGTTCAGTCTGATTCTTGAATTTATCTAAATATTATATTAAAGGTGATGAAGATATTAATTTTAGCTTTAATCTCTTATTTAGTACTCCACTAGCATTTAAATACTTAGTAAGAATGAGACTTGGAGCCAGTTTGGTGTAGTGGTTAAGTGTGCGGACTCTAATCTGGGAGAACCGGCTTTGATTCCCCATTCCTCCGCTTGCACCTGCTGGATGACCTTGGGCAAGCCATAGTTCTGGCACAGATGTTCTTGAAAAAGAGCAGTTTCTGTCAGAGCTCTCTCAGCCCTGCCTACCTCACAGGGTGTCTGTTGTGGGGAGGGGAATGGAAAGGAGTTTGTAAGCTGCTCTGAGACTCCTTTGGGTAGTGAAGGGCAGGGTATAAATCCAATCTCTTCTTCTGACAAATAATTAAAATCATATGCAGGTTTTAAGGATGGTTTGTTTAACTGTTTATTTGTTTAAACAATTAAATTTGTTTAATCGTTAAAGATGTAAACTTTTTTATTGTTAATAGACTATTGCTAATATTAGGAAATTGTCTATTCTTTTAAAGAGAAAACTCTTTTCGGAACATTGTAATAATGATGTTTTATTTTCTGCCTCTATGTTTGAAACATATTTTTACTAATACAGCTGATTTTACTTGTTGTATATCTGATAATTTCTGATGAATACATATTTCCCCCTATCCCCTTTTCCTTTCTATATCCCACTCTTTCTTGAGAAAATAAAGACTTCTAATCACCAAAGAGACTAGCTTGCCTACCAGCCTCTTATTTTTTCAGAAACGTTGATTCAAACTTCAGGCCTGCAGAAATCCTTCAAGCCCCTCGTTCTGAGAACTCGAGGTCATACTGCCCACAGCTTCAGAGCACAAGAGAAGGAAAGAGAGGAATCAACAAAGTCACTGGGCCGAGAGGTTTCAAGGCCAAGAGCCCAGGGAGGGAGCTTCGCCAACATATTCTGTCTCGTTACCGCAAGGACCCCTCCCTCCCCAGTGGGAGAAGGTAACTTGCTTAATTGGGCCCTGTACAGCTGCAGAGTACCTGGCCTCATGCGGGCAACACCCTTACTTGGTTAGAACCCCTGTTAGCAACATACTTGATTGGTTACGGTCACCTGCTTAGCAACACATTTGATTGGTCAACTAGAATCATGCCAATGCAGGTCATTTAGAATAAAGGAAGTTCTTTCTTTCTGTTTTGTGCCCTTTGCAGGGATTACATTTGCTTGGAGTCACCTCTTGATTCTAGACTAGGTGGGCCTCCCTGGCTGGAACCCCTGCCTTGGATTTTGAAACTTTGCTTGTACTCTATCTGGTCATGGCACATCTCGACTTGGAGAACCAATGTTTGTAAAAGTGCTTAGGTTAGATATTTAACTTTTATTATGTTATGCTTGTTGTTCACTCCTATTATATTGTATATCTCTGTATTATTCCTTTAATAAACCTTATTAATTATATTTTGTGGTGTTCTTGGGTTTCCATCTGAATCCAGTACTTTAGCCCTTGTTGGCTACAGCTGCCAGAGTCACTGTTTTGGAACTCAACTTGCAAGTGTCCCACCTCGCAAGGCTGACTTCTTGAATTAGACCCAGGAAGGCTGGAGACTCAGTCCCTTGGTCTGTGGCTGGTGGGTCAGTTAAGGGTCACGAGGAGTCACACTCCAACAATCTGTGGCTTTGTCCTTGACCAGCTATTCACCCTTAAATAAACAAATTTTGACAAGAACCTGTAAGAATTTCGTTACAGTTGGAGATACAATTCGATCCAGAAATGTGCTTCCCATTGAAATGGATGGAAGTGATTGCAAAACTGATCAACACAACTAGCTGTAATTAGGATGCCAAACACAATCACTTCCAATAGGAGTTAACCCAAATATTATTTTCTATGCCCACCGAAAACAGAGATCCTGAGGGTGCTGTTCTAGTGGGACAGAGGGCAAGAGCATGACCGAGACCTGGGTACGGGAGGGCGAGACGGTTGCGCTCGCCCAACTTGCCCCACCGGGGTTCTCGGTCCTCCATCAATCACGGACTAGGGGGCGGGGGGGAGGAGTGGCGTTTTCATTCGGGAGGCTTACTCCTTCAGGACGCTCTCGCGGGTGGAGATCGCGGGCATTGAATTTTCCCTAACTTGCTTTGCTGTTATGTTTTGGAAAAGGTTGTGGCAAAGCTGTGCAGGCACCCACATGGAAAGCTACCTCTGGATCTTCCCTGTTCCACCCACATCAGCTCTATCCACCAACCCCCTAAGCAGCTCTGTGAGACTTAGCATCAGTGTTACAATTCTTGAATATATTGTGTTGACTGTATCGAAGCACAGTGTGATAACTGTTGCCTTGTCTAGACATTACAGTGGGGTCCCACAAGGATCAGTATTGGAGCTGGTACTATTTTATTTATTCATAAATGATCTGGAAGTAGAGGTTGGTAGTGTAGTGGCCAATGGCAGATGACACAAAATTATTCAGGACGGTGGAAACCAAGGCTGACTGTGAAGAGCTCCAAGAGGACCTCCGCAAACTGGGTGAGTGGGTGACAGCATGGCAAATGAAGTTCAGCGTTGGTAAGTGTAAGGTGATGCACACTGGGACAAAAGAAATCCCAACTTCAAGTATAGGCTAATGGGGTCTGAACTTGCTAAGACAGAGAGGAAAAGATCTTGGGGTTGTAGTGGACAGCTCAATTAAAGTGTCAACCCATTGAGCTGCAGCCATGAAAAACTCTCTGTTAGGAAAGGGATTGAAAATTTACTTATTTATATGTTCAATTTCTAACCCTCCCTTACCTGCACAGCAGGGCTCGGGGTGGGGTACACCATAATAAATAATTAAAACCATAACTTTACAATATTAAAATAATCATTCCATCTACAATAGTGCTCAATAAAATCAGATCAAAGCATTGCAGGTGGTTACCACTGAGGTAGGTGAGAGGGAACAGAACCACACGAGGAAGGACAGTGCTCTTTATTTTCACTATCCCTGCCCATGCACCTGGCGGAGCATCTCTGTCTTAAAGGTCCTGCGAAACCATTTCAAATCTTGCAGGGCCCAGGGCCTCACTAGACAGAGAGTACCACCAGGTAGGGGCCAGGGCTGAAAATGCCCTGTCCCTGATCACGGACAGCCAGATGGTTTTGGGGCCGGAGACCACTAGCTGGTTGTCATTTAGCTGAGCGTAGTGCTCTTTGAAGGACATTTTGGGAAAGGCGGTCCCGTAGATAAGCTGGTCCCAGACCTTTTGAATGTCAACACCAAAACCTTAAACCTGATCTGGTACTCAATTTGGAGCCAGTGCAGCTGTTGGAGCACCGGTTGAATATGTACTCTCAAAAGTGTATCCGGGAGAACTCACAGCACTGCATTCGGCACCAACTGCATTTTCCGGATTAGGCTTAAGGGTAGCCCTGTGTAGAGCGAGTTACAGTAATCCAGCCTAGAGGTGACTGCCGCATGGATCCCTGTGGCTAGGTCTTGGCGAGACAAGTAGGGAGCTAGCAATCTAGCCTGGCATAGATGGGGAAATGCCAGTCTAGTTACATTTGTGACCTGTGCCTCCATTGACAAGGAGGCATCTAGGACCACACCCAAGTTTTTTTTTTTAATTTTTGCATTTTGTGTGGAGATAAACTGGAATTACAGCTCATTTCTAGTCTACAGAGATATTCAGCGCCCCTGGAGAAAATGGATCTTTTGGAAGGTAGATTTCAGGTCACTGAACCCTATTGAGGCCCCTGTCCTCCCCAAGCTCTATCCCCAAATCTCCAGTTTTCCAACCTGGATCTGGCAACCGTAACCCCTGTCCCCTCCCGGTGGCCAGGCAGGACCTGACTACCGTAATCTGGATATGAGTTCTAATTTTGATCATTTCTAACCAAAGGCAGCATGCCTGACTTGAAGATACC